CATAATTGTTCTCTTTAATTCCCCTGTAGCCAAGAGATGCTGTTCATTTTCAAAGTTCCCATGCATGGGATGTTCATCTGAGTAGAGAGCTAGCTGGTAAGTTCATGATCAGTTGTTTATATTATTGATGTAACTGAGTGTATTTTGTAACATGTCAACACCTTGGTTGTAAGTACCATAACTTGACATTGTATTTTAAGAACATGTGGAGATGTTTTTGAAAAGATTTTCACAAGTCTTAAATAAATAATGTAGGTGTGTTATGATCGTCCAGTTGTGAGAAGTCTTGAAAAAGACTGTAAGTTATAGTTACACCGACATTGCTTATACCTGGACCCAGACCAATCACTCTCAATCTTAAATAACAATCTGTTTTCTGTTTTATGTTTTACATGTATGTTTTTATGTTTTATGTTTTTTTTAATCTGTTTTATGGTGTAGCAATGAAAGGATAATAGACTATTTTAATAATTGCTTTTTTGATGTATTGATTACTGTATAACTAATGTTTCATAATGATAATTAAATTTATTTTTTTGTTTCTTCTTTTTCATATGTGGTTTCTCTTCCAGCTTTGGTAACGATATCGAACCAACGGGACATGGGTGATGAAGTGTGGGAGGATATTGCCCATGCATTGCGCTACACACAGGCAGAGATAGCAAAGATTGCAGCGAGTGCAGACCCTATGACKGAGTTGCTGGCCAACTACAAGCGTCGTGGGGGGCAGCCGCATGAATTTATCACTGCTATGTATAGTATTGGTCAATATAAAACTTCTCCCCACATCATGAAGTCTGCTGGTAGTACTTTGAGCTCTGTGTCTGTAGGTATGTATTGTATTAAGATAAATGTACTTGAAAGCTACATAAACATTCCAGCAAATCACATTGACAAACAAGGACTAACATGTAATACTACTGTTTTTAATATTTGGTGTTTTTCTGTTCTTTATCTCCTTTTTCTTTCTTTTTTCTTTTTCTYTCTTGCTCACGACCCTTATTTGACAATTATGACAGCCAACTAGAAAACCCCCGCTCCTTGAGCTGTCGTTCATCAAACATTAAAGTATTCATAGATCATTTTCATACTTGTAATTTCTGAAATATACAGTAGAAATAAATTGGAATTGAATTTAGCTCGAGAAATATTAAATATTTTCAATGGCCTACATTTGGTATTTCGGTTGAATAAGCAYTAACAAAATTGAAACGAGGCTCATGGGAAGCAATAGGGAACAATTCTTTCGTTTCCTTGGAGCCTCGTCTCCAGTTCTTTTTTGAGGGACCATTCAACAAGAATATCTAAACTATTCTTTGTAATTTTTTTCCATTATTTCGTGTGCTCTTTGTATTGGGATCCGTGCCGKTACACAGTCCCAGTGTGACCTTGTAGCTCAGCTGGTAGAGCGAGGTTGGAAATGAATTTGTCCGAATTTATTTCTAAGAGTCTTTCTCCCAGAGTAACCTTCTTCTAAGCACTATTTATACGAAACTGCTTAAAAGGAATAGAAGGTTCAGCCAACACTATACATTTAAATATAATTGTGAATAAATTGAAGAAAAAGGCACACAACTTGCAACTAGTATTTCTACTCTTTATTCGAACGTTTCGGCACTTCGGCCTTCTTCAGCAAACTCTATAATAATAAAATATAATATAAATATTAAAATAATAATAAAATATAATAAAATAATAATAAAATATAATATAAATATTATTGTGTTTAGAGACATGCGAGGTAAAGGCATTACTAACAAAACCAACTGGTTCATTGTAGTAGGTATAGATGACTGTCAATTCTATTTTCAGAATCTTCATCATCAAATCCCAACCACCAACAGTGCTCCTGTAGAAACAATCGAAAGAGAAAACTTCCCGACGACATTTCAATGGAAGATAAATTTAATGAAGTCACTGGCAAAGTATTGGGAAAGTGGAAAGAACTTGGTAGAATATTGAAAGTAAAYGAGAACAAGTTGAAAGAGATAGAGGAAGACTACAAGCAGCAAGGCGTYCGAGAGCAGGCATATCAGATGCTCATAGCTTGGAGGGATTGCTATCCTGAMCRTTGTTCTCTTAATACTCTTTCCGTTGCCTTGAGTAAGATTGGTCATAGCTACATTGCACGTCAAATATGCATGGTTGAAATGGGCTGACAATACAAGGCTTTTGTAAATTATATATATTTATATAGAAATTGAAGATAGGTTTTGTATTTTTAAGTTTTTAAAACTTTTGACATTTATTACCACCTTTGTATGTTCGTATCAATTCAAATGGAACTCAGTGAATTACATAGTACTGGTCGATTGTTTGTCAGCATACATTGCTAATATCTTTTCATTCAGTGTTTTATAAGCTTGTGGTCACACGGCATTGAGAGCTGGTCTTTGATCACGACCGTGTGCTAGTTTATCACTATGAATGATCACTGCAATGTTGTCTAGTTTTAGAATGATAGATATATAGCAGGTTTGGAATAAAGTAATACTATTTAAAAAAAGAGCAAGCTTTGTTTGATCTGTGCAGTTGATTTATTAGCGAAACTGGTTATGGAAGAACAGAAAGATAGGGAAAGACGGTACAAAAAAACACACTCCCCCTCCCCCCTCATCTATCTAGTGAGTGTCCTGATGGCAATCGTGAGGAAGTCATTTGATAGACTAATGGTTATTCAGTAAAACTGTGTTATCAGAAGTGGCAGATCCTGGCGTTTTGGAATGTTTTAAAGAATCACAACCAACCGCCGTACCTTGCGAGCCGAAGAGCCATCAGGTGTACACGAAAATGGCGGATTCGTAGGATTTCTTAAAGTGAGCGCGAATCGTCTTCCATCCTTTCAGTTTGGACAGAAATACCTTTATAGTACCTCACAGGTACTATCAATCTATAATCTATTGTATGCTTGACGCATTTAAACGTATGTAAACAATAACACGAGCGCGCGCTTTATTGTGGTTGGTTGAGATTCTTTAATTATACCCCATAACATTCTACAACTCCTACCGAATTACCATGAAACCTAGCCTTCTCCACAGGTAACAGTGCATTTTGGTCATATCTTTTCTTATAACTGAAAAAAAGGAAAAAGCTGGAGAAACGACGGAGGCTACTCCCCCCCCAACCATTATGCAAGCTTTCATGTCATTTTCTGATGACAGAAGTCAGAGAACCGCACGGCACCAGATCTGTTGCTCCCGAGCTTGCGTTTTAGTGTGGATAACGTGGAGACTTATTCTCRCTTTTCTCAGCGACAGCTTCGGCAGCCCTTCGGAATAACGATCGCTTCGGGGAAATATCGTTGCTTCCCGACAGTYAACAACATTACATCATCCCCATYATTATTACTAYAATGCTAGCCAATGGTTGTCTAACCAAACTGTTTTGCACCGTTGGAACGTTTTTTAATTATATTTGGAAAATGCACTAACTTTATACATTATAATTAATTGCATTTACATTGGCTAGTTAATAAAATACTGTGTAATATTCTAGCATATTTACTTATTTTAATAAGATTATATTGTTTGTGGACGAGTGATATAATACATAGGTGGCTGTCATACCGCAAAAAGTTTTTCCACGTCAACCGCCGCTAAAAAGATGAGAATAGCCATATTAACCGTTAATTTTCGATATTGTTTTAAATGCAATATTTCACGATGCCAAATCGGCGATTTTCCTCAACCCAGCGATACATTCACAACCGACCACCAACCTCTATAATACTAAAGGCCCCAAATAAAAGGATGGTATATGGCAGAATTCTTAGACGTAACCACAAAGTTACGTGAAAATAGAGTAACGAAAGGGGAACAAAAGGAATAATCCGTTCACGGGAATTTTCACTGCGTGGTTTGCAAATGACAGCCAGCATTAGCATTATTCAATGTGATTCACAGTAYATAATACAGCAGGGAATTGCAGCAATTCCATTGATAACAAAGCACAATTTTTAAAAAGCAGTGTGAAGGAGCACGTAAGCGTATGAAAGAAGAAAGTAAAGATTCTGGTCCAGCCAGCCGAATATACAGTTTCAGCCAAATGTGAAACAAAAACCGCAGAGTAATATATATTTCACGGTTTTTTTGTTGTTTTTTTGTTTCACTCTACCATGTACAGGCCAGTGGCAAGTAAGCTGGTTTTGATAAGCACATCTTATTTCAAACACAAAATGTCGAAATAATAAGCAATCTTTGTCAGAGAAATTCATGTTCCGTCGTTCGTGTTTGGAGACATTTAGTGTAACCATCACAAGTCAGGAGATTACCCAGCATGCTTTCCTTCCTTGACACGGCTGCTGGTGTATTGGAAACGGTGTTAAAAACACATTTTTTTTACTTCCTTGGAATGTGTAAGCCATGCTTTAGAAGAATGACATAACATCATACACGGATTCGTAAAAGAAAACCGATGTCGTCCATTAGTAATTTCTTTGTTTATCTTATAACTGTTTAGTCCGTTACTGTTGTAATATCAGTAATATCAGTCCACTTTCCATGATTATCTAGCTGGGTGGACCCTATCATCTAACGCTACATGGCCAGGGAAGTCTGTGTTGCAATCCATGGAAATAGCAACAAGCTCGTTTTCAGGCCGTGAAACTTGGACCGCTGACCCGCCATAAAATTGATCCATTTGGTTAACATTGAAATAATTCGTATATTGACATCGCGGGCTCATATCCATCGGCTCGGCAAAATTTAACGACGCACTGTTTGATGTCACTGAGCACGCGTGTTCGTCATTCGATAATATGTTTTCAATTTCTACTAGCGGTAGAGGGACAAAATCAGCCAAGGAATTCTCGTCCATGTTTAATCTTTTATTGTCACTTGGCTGTCGTACATTCTCTGTTCTCATATTTCGAGCGATAGGCGTTCTTTCACTTAACTGCTGCATATCGACACAACTCTGAGGSGCAATAACAGGAAAACCATTCATTATATTGTCAGTATATCGGAAAATTGATTCAGGTACTTGGTGTTGAAACCCCTGATGTATTTCGTGTATGCTGGCCGGCTCAGAGCAAAARTTCTTGGTCAAATGTAATGAGGAATTGGGGGGCATGTCGAGAAGCGGTAAACCATTCTCAAGTAAATGCTGCTCCATGTCGTCCATAGCTGGTCCGGTAATCATGTCCATATCAGGGGGGTATTGAGGGGGTGTTTTACTACTGTCAATAAGAGAGTTCTGCAGATCTTTGATAACCCTTAGCATTGTGTCAGTGTCGATATCAGGAATGTCTTTGAACGGTGGAGGATTATCGTTTACAAGACATGACGATCTCTCTTTCTTGTTCGGTAAGGTTAGAGGACAGTCTTGAGGAAGTTCGTTCGTCAAGCTGCTCGGCGTTGTACTTGTGCTGGCTTGTGACGGTACCTCGCATGCTATAAAAAAAAAACAAAACGAGTTTAACGTCACTGATTAAAATATTCTAATTTATGAAAGAACGAAGAAAAGAATTAAGTGTCAAAGAGATGGAGAAAAAACATACAAACAAATAATACATAAAATAGAAACAGGCACGGGTTCTAGAGCGCACACTCGCTTGTAACATGATAACAGCGTTCTAAATATCCCACATTGCTTAACTATCAATGAAAATTCAGTATATAATAAAGGATTTCCTTTATAAATAAATCAGGTAAAGGCTCTCCACTCTTACGAGCCGATACATTGTAGTCATTAGAATCAGGAGGACGGTAGGTTTGTGCACTTTGTATCAGAATAGCCTGARTAGCGGCCCTCTTGGGATCCCTGTGTACGAGGAAGGAGGGMTGCTATATATGTAGTCTCAAAATGTTACATTTAGCCTTCTTACACGTGCGATAACTGAACTAATCAAAAGAATCGAAGTGTGAGGAGGATTACTAGGTATCGTCACTAAATGAATAGTGCCCTCCACCATGATTTATCGTACCGGCCAAAAGTACACATTTGTACATAACTATGTTTGAGATTTTCAACGACTACACTTTTATAAATATATTCAAAACTACAGGTCATACACTTGATAGTGCATTTCCTTGTAAGTGCCCAACAAGTACCGCATAGCCTTTTAAAGAGAACAGAGACGGCTGTCATTGGGTAGCCTGTGTACAGACCAAAATTTTCTCAAAGTTCAGTCTGTGAATCATTTCGACCTATACATAGGATATCATTCGGGGGAAAAGGCACATTTTAAAGTACATACTTGGGAAAGGTGCAACTTGAACAGGATGAAATAACGTTTTCTCGCTACATGGACTCATTGGGCCACTGTTTGGTGAATCAAAGTCTTGAGATGATGGAGAAATAAGAGCATTTTGTGTCTTCCATTCCATTATGTCCTTCATGTCTTGCTCTTTAAAGTATTTGCCTTCCTCCTCACTGGAAATACAAACACAAATATTATTTACGCCACATAGACAACAATATAAACCACTACAAGACAACGACATATTGGACTAAAGCTAACGACAAAGGAGAAACAAACGASACAAGTCTAATTTACCTCAAAAAAATATTCTTTGATACCATTCCTTCAACTTTACCATTAGCGATGATKGAGTATGCTCTACCACGAACCCACTGCCATTTTTTATTACCTTTTAAAACTCTGAATGATATACACACTTTACGTCCAAGCAGCACTAGAAACAATAAACTATTATTACCGCTAAACTGCTGTCTTTATAACAATTTGTGTTATAGCAATCTGTTTTTATTGACTTCATCACAATAATTGTTATCAAAGCTATCATAAGTCTTTGTCATAATCACCAATAATGTCATCATAATTATTATTGTCATCGTACTATTGAAGAGATCCATAGAGTGGTTTTCCGTMAACCATGAAAACACTATAAGTCYAATAGTTAGTAGTWGTTTGTAATAGACCAATACTAATAGTCTAGCTTGTATCCGATTGATACAGCCTTTTGCAAAAATTATGAGAATTGTCGAAATATCTAAATATCATAATATCGAGTGCATGATGGGTAATCCCGCGCGATGCCCTTAGTCCCTTGTCTTTGTAGTTTAGTTTTTTTTGTGGCGACAGACTTATCCGTAGTTCTGAACATTTTCTTGATGTCAACAATGAATTATTCTAGCAAACCCGCGTGTTCCGGACAATATATGGATATAGATATTATGATATTTAGACAATTCTTATAATTTTTGCAAAAGGCTGCATAGGTATAAACATATTCATCACAAAAAGTTTTTTTTTATTTTAAATTTTAATGGTCACTTTTCGTTATGGTAACTAATTAAACTAAACGTTTAATTTATTCAAACTAGTCTGTTGTTTGTTAGCTGTTCGTTTATAGTTTATATGTCTAAAAGTTATATTGACTAGTCTATTACTMATTGCTACTRACTAGTTGGTCTATTWSTTTTCATRGTTGACGGAAAACCACTCTATTAAATGCAATATTGGTTCAAAGTAAAGAGATATCCTAGAGTGGTTTTCCATCAACCATGAAAAGAAATAGACCAACTAGTTAGTAGCAATAAGTAATAGACTAGTCAGTGTAACTTTTAGACATATAAACTATAAATGAACAGCTAACAAACGACAGACTAGTTTGAATAAATTAAACGTTTAGTTTAATTTATAGTTATACCATAACAAAAATGACCATTAAAATTTAAAATAAAAAACACTTTTTTTGTGATGAATATGTTTATACCTATATAAATCGGATACAACCTAGACTATTAGTATTGGTCTATTACAAACTATTACTAACTATTAGACTTATTGTGCTTTCATGGTTGACGGAAAACCACTCTATGGATACATCATATTAGTTATCACAATAGTGCATTGTACTTACAACATTCATGAGCTAAAGCCATCCCAGGGAGGTCTTCTGGGTGAAAGAAAAAATATGAACTATGTCCTGTCAAGTCTTTTTCGCTGAGTGCAAGTAACTTCAGCCCTCTAAATTAATAGAGACATTAATAAATTAGTATAAGAATGGAAACTAAGACTACAGTAGATTAGGACCTCGTCACTAGCATTACATCGAAAAACAATAGACCACTTCATAAGTGCCTACCATCGAYTTTATACAATAGACAAAAWTATGGAAACATTTCACAATGTCATATGGAGGAACTATTAGAAATAGGTATCTGTGGAAAGTTTTGTAGCTATGGGCCAAATACTAACAAAATTATGGAGGAATAAAAATACAGGGATTTGTATGGAATTCATGGCTGAGACGTTGTTAGCCTTGTCTTGATAATATACTAATTAGTGTCAACCATTATGGAAGTCATATAATTAGGGAGTGGTTAAAAAAAAAAACAGAAAAAATTGGTTGTTTATCCTTACGATGTAAAAACGCTTACCTGGAGTCTACCTCTAGATTACTCATGGCAGCATTCATCTTGCAGGTATATTTCTCCACGTTGGTATTCAAAGGACGGCAGACATCAATCTGTCTAGTGACTGGTGTACATAGTGCAAAGAAACCAAGTTTTCTTTCACCAGTACATCTATTTGTAACGGTCTTGATATGGCCATAGAACTTAAAACACTGAAAAATAAGACCATTTACAAACAAACAAACCATTTTAGAGGCAAGGGAGGTGACATTTTGCAAGCTCAAAACATTATCATTTAGGGAAGGCAGCAATGTTTTCCAAGGATAGGGTAAGTGAAGGGTCTTACCTTATAATAGAAGGGACTGATATGGCTTGACAGCCTGCCTGCATGACATTTGAGATTACAGAAACACTCCTGTCGGCCACCTAGAAAAGCAGAAATATTATTTACTCCAACTACATACACAGAACATTACACAAAATTCAACCTTCATAAACATTAAGATATAAAAATCCAGGGGGGAACTCCGTTATAGAAGGGGCGGGGGTCCTCATCAGAAATTCTGAAAATGACCTCTAAAAGGGACCTGTATTGTGAGATGATGGGCGTGGCACTGCTGAAATTTCACTCCTAAGAGGGATGAATAACAGGTCATTTTGTTTTGTTTTCTTAAGATTATGGATGATATTTTGAATATTTAAAATCTTTATGTGAAGAAGGTTTTTGGGTTATCTAGGATGTATGAGATGAGATTATACATCAACTGTATTTTCTTTTTCAGAGTATAATAATTATCACATATTGTAGTCAGATTGGCTTCATACCTGTTGACCTTCCATTTAAACAGCTGCTTTCAAAGGAATTTTTCTAAGGAATAAAATATTCAGCAATAAATTACTTCAGTGTTGTCATGGAGAGGGCACCTGTTTATCAGAGAGTGAATCAAGGGGAAACATGCAGAATATAACAAATCCACCACCACATGAATTTTTACCTAATATATCAGTCATAAGACATTTAACTCATTTTTTTTTGCTTGATACTCGTCCCATCCTCATAAACAATATGTAAATGTTGATTAAAAAAACGTTTTTAGATTCATAGGAAGCTTCTATCATCAACCTAGTTATAAAACACTTGATATTTCAATTGACATTCAACTGTTATCCTAAGACATCCAATGTACATGTAGGTCAATACCTCAGAACAGTAAAAGAACTATTTTACAATAGGATGACAGCAATTGCAACACTTTTTGTATATAACTTCAAGTATAAAAGTTAAAATTAATGGCAAAGATAATTAAGTTCAAGGAAACAATGAACWACAAGGAAACACACATGATTCTCTGTGACTCTGCAAATTCGTGCTTACACACTTAGGCTCAGTCTCCAGCCGTCGGGATTTYGTGCGCCCRCGATACTCTCTCCCCTGACGGCTGGGCGCATGGGGTTCGAAACGTGTCGCRCATGTCCGTGACGTTTTTGTGTAATTAGCATATTATGACGTAATGGAAGTGAATTTTTCAGTGAACGGAAGTGAAATATCTGACAACAGCCGTAAAGGTTTTGCTACAAGGCGGGAAATTATGTGAAATGAAAACTTCGCGAAGTAGCGATATAATGTAATAGTTAGCGCTTTAAAAAAGAGAAAGGAATGGAAATTACCCCAAGTAAAACATGTGCAGGGTTTAATAATCCAAATGGAATAATCCAAATGGATGTATTATCTGCCAGAAAAACGAGCAAAATATACTAGTGGCACTGTTTGAAAAATAAGAGATTTGCCCGAGCCAGGGGTATAGGAAGAATAACAAGGACATCTTTTCCAAGAACAATCTCTTTAAAAGCCTTTTGCTGTATTTCTCTAAATTCGTCCAAGCTAAACGACTTCAGAGCCTTCAAACAAGCACTTTCAAAGAGAATCTCAAACGACGAATTGTACGCCATTTTGTTACACTGCTGCCTGCTAATTTATTAATGATATGTCCCTGAAAATATCGGGGGCCACTCGCTGATTGGTCAAGACTGACAATAGCRAACCCCATGCGCCCAGCCGTCAGGGGAGAGAGTATCGCGGGCGCACGAAATCCCGACGGCTGGAGACTGAGCCTATTACACACTCTTCAGACAGAAACTCAGATTGACAGAGAATCATGYATGTTTCCTTGTAGTTCACCTATTTTATGTCTTGCTCTGCACTAATGTGTATTGAGCACTGTTATAGTAGATAGATACGTGTGGCAGACCAATGCAGATCTGAATTACATCTGGATTTATAGTGAGAGGGACTTGGACAGACTGTTATTGTGGGAGCTTTAAGCAGCCGTGCAGTTTACAAATATGTTCAACAGCTTCAGCTACATAATCTCTCTTAGTTGAAGGAAATATATTTTAGGTAAAATCATTTGCCTTGATTACCTTCATGATAGAAACTTCCTATGAGTGCAATTTTTAGTTGTGTAAAGTTAAATTATTTCAAACATTAAAAGATATACATTCATACAATCATACATGAAGGAGAAAATACATACATTTGGCATCTGAAAACATGCATTTAATCCATGCAGGTCATCTGGATCAACAATTGGAAAAAACTCTTGGTGTATGAGCCTGGTCTGTTGGTTGACAAATATTTCATGTCATTACTTTGTCAAAATATTAAGAAAACAATAAAAACAAACAAACAAACAAACAAAGAGAAAAACAATTGAAATAAAACAAATAGAGTTTGTGCAAATTACATACCTGAGGGTAACCAAGATAGTTTTTAACATTTTCTGATATATAGTAAACAATGCCATCTTCAGTAAGAACCAAGAAGAATCCTCCGATAGCCTGCAACATTATCAATGCTCTTATGACAATGTTGTACCATCGTACCATATAGCAAACATATATTACAAATACAAGAAAACCAAGAATACATCATTGCACTCTTGTTTTGGGTAACATGCTAAAAACAACAGCCACTATCCCTGTTCAGAGATTTTGCTGAAGTGATAATACACATTAGAAATCAACAAATGATATTTCAATCAAGAAATATTTTGATCCGCTGTCTTTTATTAATTATATTTTTGGATCCATGTGATATTTCATATGTAATGACTCTGCTACTAAGCTACTTGGAGAATATCTACATTACCTGCAAAGCCAACTCACTAAGACTTCCTCCATCTATTGCAACAACTTGTTTTTCATCACCATTTCTTTCCCGTTTAGATGTACTGCTTGTATCAGCTAAAATTAATAATAAATCAATGTTTACTTCACGAGATACAGAGAGCACTTTGATCACAATCATTGTGACCTCTCACAAGAAAACGTGTCTTAACGCTTAAAAGCATTATAACGGTTTTCCGTTAATGGCCGTTAAACGGTTTTTTTAAACGTTAAAACGCTTTGGCAAAGCGTTAAACGTTTTGGGCAAAGCGTTATAACGTCTCCCGAAAACGTTAGCTGTTAAGACCAAAGCGTTATAACGTTTTGCCAAAGCGTTAAACGTTAAGAGCAAAGAGTTATAATGTTTTGCCAAAGCGTTAAACGTTAAGAGCAAAGCGTTATAACGTTTTGCCAAAGCGTTAAACGATAAGAGCAAAGCGTTATAACGTTTTGCCAAAGCGTTAGCCGTTATGACCAAAGCGTTAAACGTTAAGAGTAAACCGTTAAAAAGTTTTGGCAAACCGTTAGCAAAGCGTTAGCTCCATTTTTGAAAGCGTTTGCAAAGCGTTAGCTTTATTTTGAAAAGCGTCAGCAAAGCGTTAGCTCCATTTCCGAAAGCGTTAGCTCCATCTTCGAAAGCCGTTTATCAGACTCGTAACATGGTATATCTAGGATCTAGTGAGCCCTATTTTTTGGTGAAAATATTGATCCCTGAGCCCGATTCTCACCAAATGTTTGATCCCTGAGCCCGTTCAAACATTTTGAGCCCATTTAAGTTGTTTGCTCAAGAATTGCTTTGAATAGTGTTCAAAAGATCTTAGCTAAAACCGAAGGAGGTCTCCTTATACAGTATGACAAAAAAATATGCATAATAACACAAGTAGTGTCATGGCTCGAATAGCCCACTTCGCGGATAACACAGCTAATAGAAATTGAGCAAATATCGAAAAACTACTACCACCACTGGAAAGAACAGTATGAAATTAGTATGTTTACCAGGTTTTAGCATGATTCGATGAAAATTCAAGGAGATACAGCGTTTAAAATTCGGCAAAATTTACAAAGAAATGTATGGCTGTTGGCATGAGACCGAGGTTGACCTTGACTTGTTACAACCTGGCCAAACATTTCTATGCGAAATTTAGTGTTTTTGAAGTGTCGTATCTCTTTGAATTTAAATCAGATTATTTCCAAACTTGGCAAATTTGCTGATTTTATGACGCTCTTTCCAGTGATGTCAATGATTTACCATAACGACGTAATGTAAAATTTCGAATTATCCGCGAAGTGGTATATTAGGAGGAATTGAATCAGGGTCTGAATGGGGTTAACTGTTAAACTTTCAGAGCAAAGCGTTATAACGTTTTGCCAAAGCGTTAAACGTTAAGACCAAAGCGTTAWAMSKTWWKRCCAAAGCGTTAGCTCTTAAGAGCAAAGCGTTATAACGTTTTGCCAAAGCGTTAGCCGTTAAGATCAAAGCGTTATAACGCTTTGCCAAAGCGTTATAACGCTTTGCCAAAGCGTTAGCAGCACTTGAAAAAGCGTGACCGTTAAAAACGGCCGTTTGACGCTAAAGCGTTAAGACACGTTTTCTCGTGAGAGGTCACCATTGTCTGTTTCCCACTGTAGCTAGTTTACTGAATAATAAAAAAATGTTTTAACTCTTTAAATAAGAATAATAAAAGAGAAATCTTTTATTTTATGAGCTGTCGGCCATTTAGGATTTCATTGTTGCGTGGCCGGCAGTCGGTTCAAGTTCGCACAATGTCTCTAAGTGCAACGAATTTCGGTGCGACGTTTATGTGAATTTTAACACACTCATTTTACTTGTAGAGTTTTATTTTGGAGTTTGGAAGCTCATTTAGATAATAAGAGGGAAAAAACACATTTTATGGGCTGCCGGCCATTTAGCATTTTCAAGACCTTGACYGGTAACCGGCCATATAGACACAGTGTTAATAGAAACTTCAAAGTTTGGACTCGAGGGGGAGGGAGTGGGGGGGGAGGGGTTGTTTGCTTGCTTTACAAACTCAGATTTTAGAGCCTAACCCTTAGCTAATGTTATCCTTACCCTACCCTAAACCCTAAACCCTAACCCTAAAAGTCTATGTTGACTTTTTTTTCGCTTTTTAAAAGGAAATCAMGAGAAATAACTAGCAAACATGATTATTTAGAACAGAAACAAATGATTGAAGCAATTTTTTTGTCRATTTTTCGAAAATTCCAAAAATACMCTAAATCGTCAMTTACKTAGTTTTCAAATCCRCCCCTTCAATTTGTATAATACATGTCCATCATTGTCTGACATTTCCAAAGTAACTGTTTTATGCACAAGTCAATTTACTGGACGCCACCCAGGGAAGGATGTATTCTCCTATATTTGCGATATGGGTACATGCTGCCAACCAGGGTATCGTTTTCAGCGATTTTACTCTGGAACAGGGTATCGTTTTTTTGCAATTTGACTCTGGAACATGGTTAATGGGTTAAAAATTTGATATTTATGCCTCACTGAATTCTTAATTAGTTGATAACTTAATCTAATCAGGAGCTAATTAGAATTGTTCCACATTTATGTGGCATGTACTCTATACATGACATCATATCCATCASCCTTCCCCAGYGTTATCAATAGTTTCTGGTTCAAACACTTCTTTTAATTCGCTCAGCCTAATTTAATAAATTTGTCTGAAAGATTTGATGAAAAAAGTGTCAGGGGTAACCTTAAATTGAAAGTTTTTTTTTTGTTCGGACCAAAACGTATAACAAAAAATTCAATTTAATATGAGGCAAAAAAATACTTTCAATTTATKATGGATTCTTCCAGTAATTTTCTCAATTGATGTACTTACTTATCATAAGGTTTTGTGTGTGGAAGAAGCTGACTGTGAGCTTTAAAACAGACAGTCTGTCTAGGTTAGCTTTGACTTCGTTAGACAACGGCAGCAGTTCACACAGTTCATCCATGACTGAGTTAAGCTTTTCTCGATGTCGTTTGGATGGACTAAGCCCTGTATCACTGCCATTCCTGAATGAATACACCATAACAATAATTATGGCAACAACTTAGATGCGGATCTTCAATAATTTGTCTTCACAATGAATATAATTATTATCTGATTTTTCAACAAAATTCAGATTTCCACAGGGTTTTACTGACATGTGATTATCTTTATTATGAAAACATAAATTCAGGAATATCCAAAATTCAGAGACATTTTTGGAATTTCTGGTGAAAAGCAAATATTATGGTWATCATAATTTATTATCATTATTTTTGGACGAAAGAAGTGCCTTTTTCTAAAAGCTACAGTGTTGCTATGGTAATAATTTGTGTGACTATTACATCAGACCCTTTCTAAAATCAATCAAGAATGAGTTTGTTTATAGGAACCATTATTCATCCAAGTAAAAAGTGTCAATGCCGATGTACAATATTAATAAGAASCTTATTTTAAAACTGCTTTCAGGCAGTTATCATCAGGGAACTAGCTATTGTCATACATGAATAGAATAAAAATAGCATCTCGAGTAACAATAATATTATAATAATTAATTATTAAAAACAGAAAAAGTATCTWTGTGTGTGCAAGAAAAGTAACCAARACACTGATTCATTGCAATACAAAATGAATAGTTATTAAACTTTAAATAAAAAAGGTAAAAAGAAAGATTTAAATGTAAAATAAAAAGTCAAAACTAAAATCTACAGGTACATACATCTACTTTTAAATACATACATCTACTTTTACATCTACTTTTAAATATTAAAATATTTAGGAGAGTAATAAGTAATTTTGTAGGAGCTCCCATTACTAAGATAGTTTCTYCATTCACTGCAATCATCCAAGCTTCCAAGAACTTTCTTTGGTGATATTTTGGTTCTTGCAAAATGATTTTAGCTTCTCYTTAATGCTGTATTTAGTARACTAGCATGGCAAGTGCTCACATTTACATTTTGTCCAAACAGACTCCTTCTTACTTCCTTGTTTTATGTTCTCCATAACTTACATGTATCGGCTTTGTTTGTCTGGCCCGGACCCTAGGGTGTCCTAAAAATCCACTGTATTACTGACCACTGAGGTCATGAATTCAATTGAAAATCATTCAAAAAAAATTCAAGACTACTAAAAGCATAAATTAAAAATCTAGAATTAATTTCATTTGGAGAGAATTTTTTGTTTTGTTTTGCAATTATAAGGAAAGATTCTGACAATCTCTAAAACAAGAAGATTATTTGAAAACTGCTTGCCCACTCCTGGGGTGTTAAGATGTCTTGATTTGGAATTGCTGTATATAAGCTTAAACATAAAAGCAAATTTAAACTCCCTTAAAGAATATAGGAGCTGTTTMAAATATTCTAACCTGTATGTGGTTTGATGGTGCATGTAGATCATTTTATTGGCAGAATTTTCCAGCAACGAAAATTTGTCTGATCGTTGTTAAAGTAAACAATGTCTCAATTTCCTTATTCATTTGTATAGACTCAATGACAAGTTTAAAAAAACATAATTCAYAATTTGTACTGCAAAGTGATGGTCCATCTCAGACTAATTCAAAGAGAGAAATAAAACAATTTTCCAATTTTGGAGAATACAGTTCGGATAATACATAAGACAGGATTTTAAAGTGACCTACCACGTTTGAATTTCAAAATTGTTTTAGAATTAAGAAAAATATTTCATGATATCACATGGAATTGACAATAAAAGGTTGCAAAAACGGGTGACACGAAACAAAGAGAAACTTCTAGAAACAGGAAACAAGCAGACAAGTGCAGTAATCAATTATTGAAATATTGCTGTTTTAACCTGCCTACCCGAAACATCATAATGAATCTGCTACTAGCAACAAATCGTTCAAACTTTAAATTGCCCGAAAAGTGAAAGAAGAGTCTTCGATATTTCATAACTCATGCGAAATTGTTTGCAATTTCGCTCCAGCCCCAGCAGTAAGTTCGCAATGATACAAATTGAACCTGAAACTCTTTGTTGAAATCGCTACTTAYGTTTTTACTTAGGAAAAGATAATCTTATCTATAGTACAAAATAGTACAAAATAAGTAAGTTAACAGAAAAAAAAGCTAGAAGAGTTAAGCTAAAGTTGTAACTTGTTATTAACGCGAATAATAAAACACTGCTTCTAGCACCTGCATGATTGCACGGAGTTCAAGCAGAGGTGCCAACTTCACACCTTAATATTACAATCTTATAAGCTTAATATGCCTTTTCTGGACTTTAAGTATTTTTACTTACTTTTTATTTGCGGTATTTGCTTTCGACGTCGAGGGCCGACGTGCTGATTTATTCGTTCGAGAAGTTTTCATGGCTGGACTGCTGTTGCGTCGACAGCAAATATAGTTTCTCAAGTATATCTGGACAATTCAAGCAACATTCAAAATGTCATAAACTACTGGTACCTTAATTAAGAGTGAACATGACATTAAAACAAGTTGTTGAAATCTTACCTAGGCCACAGTTGACAGAAGCGATGTCACAACTAAAATGACGTGGTAAACTTTCGCTTTATCAGTCCCTAGATGGCGAAAATCTTGGAGCCATTCGATGCACAGTATAGTTAATAGTACATCTGGATATTTTTGAGTGAAATTATGTAATAGTTCTGACCAAAAACTTCATTTTCGGRGATGTTTATCATTTCTTGGACGGTACTTCCAACTCCGCTTTTTGGCCAGCCATTAACCACGTGACTAGACAGGAACCCCATAATGTCTTAAGTGGGCGATATTAGCGGCGATTTTATCGCGTGTACAGTAAAGTCACTGACAATGTTTTATAAACTAGTTTTATCAAGGAAGACATTGTCTTAGTGTAAAGTAATTGGCCGCACATCTCAAGGGCAGATTGTAGGAGACTCCCCTTTATATAATTTTGGTAGGCGTGTGTAACCATGACACAGTGGCCTAACTTAACTTTTCGAGGTTTTGAAAAAAAAATTCCCGGCAAACCAAAATTTTGAAAAATCTGCAATAAAGCTTTTGCAAGTTTGCAAAAAAAGAAAAAAAAAAAATACAAGCGAGCGCCCCGAGTCTAAAAAAATTCTTGCAGCAACAAAATCTTCCAACCACCCTCAAAATTCTAATGGATCGGCCCTCCTAATTTCAATGTATGGCAAAATAGAATAGATGAAATGTGAAGATTTGCATAGACCTGCAGTTAAGAAAATTAGCTTTGTCATAATTTCTCCATGGTTCCTTTTTTCTCAAAAAAACAGTAARCTTACATTTCATGTGACATAATCGTGAGCATTTTATAATTCTATAATTAAGCACTCTTCCCTCCAAACGAAACTGCAGATCATGGATTTGAACGTGAATAGAAAGTTGAATGTTTTCAAGATACTGAATCAATTTTCACCAATTACATTTCACTTTTGCTTGGAAACTGATGGTGAAGACATCTGACAAGAATATGTTGACTAGGTTCTGCTGAACGAAAAACAGTGTAGAAAAAACAACTGGAGGCCACTCCATCAAGGCAGAATAATGTTCATTTGAATCCCCGGGGGGGGGGGGGGGGTACTCCCCTATATTCGTCACTATGCGGGGACGTGCCGCCAACCAGGGTATCGTTTTCAGCGATTTTACTCTGGAACTGGGTATCGTTTTTAGCGATTTTACTCTGGAACAGGGTATGGATTTCAACGAATTTTCTCTGGAACAGGGTCAGGGTTTCAAAGTAATGAACTAGATATTGCAGGGTCAGGGTTGAATTCCGGAATAATTGATGCTGGATAAAAATTCATGGGGTAAAAATTCGGTCTACACGCAAGCTAGTGCAGAAATTTACTCTGGAACAGAGTATCGTTTTCAGCGATTTTACTCTGGAACAGGGTATAGTTTTCAGCGATTTCACTCTGGAACAGGGTCAGGGTTTTGAGGTCCCAGCGGCACACCCCCACCCAAGTTTCGGGGGAGTACCTCCCCCCCCGGATTTGAATGATATGATGGATGGGGTTTGCATTAACTGAAGAACACACTATTAAATGGAAATTATTTATTTTTTTATAATTCTCTGCTTAAGAAGTGCTGATAAATACACTGGATATCATGTACATCCAGCACAAAAGGGCTACCAACTCCATGGGTAACAATAATTAATTGTGGCAAATAATGAATTTAAACTTCCCGGGAAAATGCCAACATTGGAAAATCCTAAGAAATGTCCTTAATAATAATATTAATACAATAGTGTTAATAATTATACCTTTAAAATCTAGATTTGAATACTTAACTTGCTTTTCTAAGGAACAAAACTACTCTTTGTTCCCTAAATGAGCACTAATATAATAACAACACCTAGAATGCTTCATTTGAAGAAATACATGGCAATACTATATAGGTCTCTTTACAAAGAAACAGTGTAATACAAAGCTATTAAAAAAACTAATTAATTTGGAATAAACCTAATCTTAGAACAATAACTAAAATATATTTTACAACAGAGATAAGATTCTATACAAGAACTTGAAACTAATAAATGGACATCCAGTTGATATTTTTTAGATTAAATAGTGACTGTCTACCTTACATAGAATATATAGATAGAGAAAGGACTGGGAAATTACATTTTCACATTAGTGATTTCATGTCCAGGATTTTTCAGTTAATGTAAGGAAATGGCAGTAACACACACGCTTTAATTTTGTCAAAATTCTTTTCTAACTTGGCCAAATTCCCATATGAAATACTGGAAATAACATTACACATGCAAAATTGAAAAATGATTCAATAATTTCATACTGGCAAGTAGGTTGATTTCCGTGGCAATGTAAATAATTACAAAACAAAAAAACATATCAATGTGTTAACCATGGCCAACCTATCACATCTACAAACAATTTCAATGTATAATAGCCCTATATWTAATAAATGGGAAGAAACAGTCAAAATTTCGATCTATTAATGTTCTCTCACAATTGCATCTAGTTTTGATATACACCATGTATCAATAATTACTCATGTACATTTTCTTTTATATTCATCAATTCTGCCYCCTCTGACATGAACCATATTATCCTTCAGGAATGTTTTGGAGTGATGCAATTATACCATAAGACAATGAAATATACACACATTTGGGAATTTGCATGTGCATCACACATTTTTGCATTCAAATATCAATGCCGTWATGTAGATGTGAGAAAGAAATATTTAAACTATTGCTTGCATTTAGTAAAAYCTTCTGAAACTTTTCTACTTATTCCTCTTGTATTCCCAGTATTATCTCTAGCTATGTACTTCATGTAGAATTGGCTTCCGGAATTATTTTTAGACCACCTTGKTAAATGCTTATAATAATAACAGGGTACACACAATGTACCTTGACATTATAAAAGCATATCTTTAAAAAATCAGAAAACATGGTGAGAATGGCAATGCAATATCAATAGCACCCCTAAAAAAACCTTAAGTATATATTTATACAAACAGATTTATGAAATTATATCAAATACTAAACAATGGGCTATCACATATCCATCAATCTGATAGGCTATTGAACTATGGTCATACCATGGTCACACTGAATAAAGCGCAAAAGAGTCAAGAAAATTATTCTTTGCGATCTTTTTCAAATTTTCCYTATAGATTGACAGATACCAAAACAATTAGACCACTAAGTCTCATGAACTACAAGATCCAGTCAGGCAAGTATTGCCTCTTGGACTATCAACTCCAGTCAACCTTGTGATGTAATTGTTAAATAGACCTTATGGACACTGTAGTGACAATATTAASTCATTGTCAGAATTGCAAACTTTCAACCACTAGTTTCAACCACTAGCAGAATTTTCATAATGAACTTTTATAAGGAAACCTTTGTGCTTAGCATGTACACCATACAAACATTTTTCTTAGACAAAATGCTGACCTTGGCATTTGCAGTTTTTTAGTTTTAGCAAGGCAAAGCCCATTTGTTAAAAATGCTGAATATATTTTTTGAAGTYATTGCAGTGCAYATTAGGTCTAAAGTGTTCGTATGCACCYTCCATTTAGACTAAAAAGCCCCACACTAGGCTTAGGACTACAATTGAGTTCAGTAGCATGTCACTTATAAAACTATAATGTATAAAGTTTCAGTATTGAATTGCCATCACCACATTGCTGTCATTGTTCTCTTTAACACCATTACTAACCATTTACAGAAAAGGAAATATCAATAACCTTAGTTTATAGACCAGAAAGGTGTACAATTATTTAGATTTTACATTTGCATCAATAATAACAAAAACATATACTACCAAACATTATTAACGTGTAATGCTGCTGGGCACTGAATACCATACATTCACATCAATTCTCAATATTTTATGAAAATTATATAGAGATGTAAATTTAACAACAAGAAAACAAAGTGTTCATATTTTCAAAGAAATAAACACATGATTGTGATTTTTAAAATGGACTACGCTGGGGCTTATTAATGACTTTAGATAATATATAACTCTTGGCAGAAGAAACTGCAAATTGCCTAGCAACATCATTCTCAAATAATTACACAGTATAATATAATGGAAGCCAATTATAGAACCTTTCTTACACTAAAAACATTATAATTGACAATTGAAGTTTAAGGTGGACAGCTACAGTTTTTGAATAAGATCAAAGAGCTGAATGGACACCACCAACTGGCATGAACCATGGTAGTGGCTAGTGAACACATCTTGGCAATATCAAAACCTATACTCTAAGCAATCGACTAGGGTATGACTATTCAAGCCAATTCAAAAACTGTAGTAATCCACCATACGATAAATAAACATAGTAGAGCTATCATAGCACACTTGTTATAATACCTTTGATTTGTTTTGCCAAGGATAACTTTGTTCTGTCTGTACAACCCTTATCACTGCTAATTTCTCCAAGAAGGTTGACAATTAAAATTAATATACAAATAACTATAATATAATATAAATTAACTGTTCATTACGCTGTTTAATTTAAAAGAGACCAGATCCTAAATTGACAGGTATCAGTCAAGGAATGATCGCTGCAATTCGTTGAGTTATCTGCATATGGCAATTTGGGCATTCAGATACCTTAGATGCACATGYCTCACACAWCACACAATGTGAACATGGTAGTGTAACAATGCTTCGTCTATGGTCTTGACATTCAGTACACAGTAACGACTGTTTTACAACCATTACCTAAAGAGAGATAATACATTAATTAACTGATGGTAGTGCACCATTGTGTAAGTATAAGTGTACCATGACACTTTTCTAATGTCACTTGCTTATATTTCATCACTTTTCCCTTCTACAAGTTTGCTTGCTTGTTTGACTATCTTAAGGTCATGAGGTTGAGATTTGGTACCCAAATGCCACCATGATGTCTTTCCCAAGTAGCATTGGAGGTCACCATGACAATATTGCACACTCCAACACCTGGGACCAGTCACCATGATAAGAATCAAAGGAATTAATCATACTTAACCTTTGAACTTACCAGAGAGTGGAGGAAGTGGAATAAGTGCATGTTAACAAGATAGAAACTGATGCATATGAAAGAGCTATGTAACACAAGCCTTGTATATGCAGAATTAAAACATAATTCTAAAAATAGAAAACACAAACTACATGGACAAGAACAGTTTTGATCCTGGGAAATCTGTCAGCACATCCACCAGTTTCACCCAGATTACTTGACTGTGAAGTATGTTATGGAAATATACCAGGACCACRTCTCTCAATTTTCTTGCTGARTGCATCCATTTAATAATCTTTTAACTTTTACATGGAATATTATTGAGAAAAGAGGATCCATTTCAAGATTACCAGTAGTGCCACTTCACAGTTGCCTTAATGACATTTATAGACACCCAAAACTGTTATTTTCTCACCTTGTTTAACTGTTGTAAATCATTAGTCAAGCATCTATGTAATTCTGTTAATCTTGGAATGGACATATCACCTAAATCTGATATCTTTGCTAACACATGGATATCTTGATCACTTTTTTGGGATTCTATTTTGTTGTTTAATGCTACAATTTCTCTCTCAGCCTAATACAAAAGGAAAAAAAAATCATTATGTAATAAAAGTAATTAAGTTTGAAAATGACTTGGTTAACGATAAAAAGACAGTGTTATAACAGTAATGCCATCCTCTTTGTTTCATTTCCKAAAGAAAAAAAGAAACTTTGAAGAGGACAGATGTTTTCCTGTTTATTATTAATAATTACATTGCCCCATGATTGGCTGGGTTTTCTATACCCCTTCAAACCATATTTGAAAAAAGAACTGTTTASCCAGAAGCAGAACCCATTATGAAATCCTTTCATAGTTCTCATTTACACTGCATTAGTATAGAAAACTGAAAACACTGAAAATAGTTTGAAATCTCACAAGTTTCATCGACTATTAAATATTTGCATATTTTACACAAAATTGAGGCTAACACAGTGTAAAAATCCCCTTTACTCAAACTGCATTGATATAATTTCCACCCCTCTACCAATCAAAAACCTTTAAAATACAATTTTGACTAGTAGTCATTTCTAAATAAGCTATACAATGTTGTACTATATGGCTTTTATTGTTATGAAACCTTACCTCTGTCAATTTCAATAGTGCTTCTAGTTTATCATTATGTGAAGATTTGGCCTTTTTCATAGATTCCTCTGCCTCTTTTTTCCATGCATCACAGGCTTGCTTGGCTTGTGCCCAGCACTCTTCCCATGATGCTAGTTTTGTGCGTGCAGAAATAAGTTCCTCATTTAACCTATGGACTTCCCCTGCTCCTGCACCAATATCCAAAGGAGAAGGYAGCTGAGGAGAKCCAAGTTGTTTGGGKGAATGTAATTGGGTGCTAAGTGGTTCAAATATGGTGCTAGGTAGACCACTACCACGTATAAGTGGACTAGCTCTGTATAGATTATTTTGCTATAAAAAATAATATGATGTCATTAATTAAAAGATCTAAAATCACATGACTTGGCATCACTAATATGATATACTACCCATGGACAACATCACACAATACCCATAACCTAACCATGACACGTGACTAGGTACCGACAACCTAGCCAATGACACATGACTTGGTACCTACATCCCATGACTAGGTACGTATAACACATGACACGATACCCACAACCTAACCCATGACACATAACTAGGTACCGACAACCTAGCCAATGACACATGACTTGATACCCATAACCTAATCCATGACACATGACTAGGTACCAACAACCTAACCCATGACACAT